GTGTGTGTGTGTGTGTGTGTGTGTGTGTGTGTGTGTGTGTGTGTGTGTGTGTGTGTGTGTGTTATATGTGTGTGTGTTATATGTGTGTGTGTGTGTATATATATATATATATACACATATATATACATATATAGTTGGTTATATGTATTATACGTACTTTCCATGTATATATTCCCTTTCTCCATGATTGTGTTCTGCGCAATCCAGAGAACATTGGTATCTCTACATCGCATGACATTCGTGAAAAAAAAAAATGCGGACGAAACGTATGCCGTGTGAAACATTGGAACTTTCAAATTATATTCGCTCTGCTGCATCTCACATTTCACTGCTGGAATCACAGATCACCGATTCGTAAATCGTGCACTCTACATTAATGCTTCTCGTAAATAATTGTATTTTTGGGACGTTGAGGTAATTGTTTTTTTAGGACGGTAAAGTAATTGTGAAATGTTACAAAAAGTTGATAATTATTTAATAACACTATTGTATTACCAATTCGGACTAATTTAGATTTTTTAGGGTTTTCTTTATTTTCACCTGTTAAGCTTTTTTAATCGCACTACAATTTAAACATCTAATCTGAGCTAAAACTAAAACATATATGTCAAGTATTATAATTCATTTAAGTTTTAGCAATATTGTGATATGTATTTTTTAAAGGACTAGTTTATTTCTTGCAAAATCTATACCGATTTAAAAGTAATTTTGTACTAATTCTTTTTGTGCTAAAAGAAATACAGATTCGAATTAATTATATTGATAAATATGTTACTTAAGATAGATCAATATTTATTTTGTTGACCGAATCGAACGTGTGTGTGTATATATGTAGATATACATACTATGTGATTAAAATCTGTACACGTAATAATCGTTTAAGGTGTATGCGCATTTGAAATGTGCACCGAGATTTTCGAAAGGTACCGATCGATAGCAACGGAATAAGAAAATTCTGACTGGTCGGACAACATTTTCGAAGGAAAAATATTAAATTGTAACACTCGACGCTTTGTGTGCAGATATACCAGAAACTTAGTTGACGAAGGAAACGGCAGGTTCAATCTCATGATATTGTGCTGGGGAGAAGGTCATGGGTCAGCCATACACGATCATGCCAACTCGCATTGTGTAATGAAAATACTCCAGGGGAAATTATGCGAGGTACAGAAATTACGGATAATTATTGGGAATCATTTCAGACCACGTATCATACATACATTGTGATGTAAAACTGAGATACCAAAGTGCGTTATTTTTTATTGTTAGACGAGGTACGCGTGGCCCAAAAGATCGGAGATGAAAAATGATGCGGAGGAACTCAAGGAACTCGAGAAGAACACGCTTGATATAAACGAGATCTGTTATATTAATGGTATGACTTTTTTTAAATTAAATCCTAAACGATAAGTCTTACATATTCAGTACAAATGAGGATTAAAAAATAACATTTTAACAATTTATTTTATTGTCGAGTCGAGCATCGAGTCTGGTGAAATACAAAAGATATTTGTATAGGGGAGATTTTGATTCTAGAAAAACCTTATTTGTAGCATTTTAGAAAATAAACATTAATTAGCAATTTATTAACAGTACGTTCTGTCTTAATATAAATAAAAAAATTCCGTAAAAATTACTGTGTTCATGAAACTAAATTAGAAAAACTAAGTTTCTCTCGACTAAATGAATACTTTTTATGCGTTCAAATAATACAATTTTTCATTTACGTTTATTATAATTAAAATAATATATTTTAATTATTACACATCTTTTTAAAAAATAATTTTGAGAATTATACGATCTACTTATCTTATTCTTTATTAATAAATTGCTAATTAATCTTTTCTTTCGAAAAATAAATTATTTTTAAAAGTACGTCCTCTGTATGAATACCTTTTACATTCACTGTATTATGTACTATTTGAAATGGATTTCAATCGAAATTGTTCAATTATTCCCTAGATTTCTACTGTTTTTTTTTTCTATTGTGTTTTTTCAGTGAAAATACAATAATTTTGACCAAAATCCATTTCGAACAGTATTTTTTATAATACATACTCTGATCATTTTTGTAAACGTGAAGTAATTCTAAAACAAAATTACAAGCGTGAATCTTTTATTTTATTTACAAATAAAATCCTTTTTTACGCGAATAATATAATTCTGTATGTGTATACATATTTTAAAATAATCTCCGATATTTTTTTCCATTCGAAAGATTCACTAGGTTTGCACCGTGTCGAAAATCCAAGCGCGGTGAATCCCGCGGTCTCCCTGCATCTGTACTCGCCGCCATTCTCGTCGTGCTCGGTCTTCAACAAGCAGACCGGGCAAAAGTCTACGTGTAAGGTCACATTCTGGTCCAAGTACGGGGAAGGAAGAAACCGGGTAAAAAACTATTTGCATATCTCTCAAAAGTTTTATCTTACCGCGCAATTCTCGATCTACCTCTCCGCCAAGACGCATATCAAAGAATCTTGCAGCATCCCGAAGTTGCATTTACGACGCTGGAAGTCATTACAAAGATTTAAATTCAGTTACGGAAGAACGTAATCGAATCTTCGTCTCTTTACAGAAAAATTCTAGATTTAGTTCACATCAAACTAGCGGAACGTCTTTATTCATATCTTTCTTCAATTTCTTTTTCTATTTTCATACAATTAAGTTTCACAAGTCCTAACATGATTGAGTATGCCTAATTGATATCAATAAAAGTCTAACGAGTGAAAACACTGGCGAATCCACGATGGAGGCAATTGACTACCTTGAGTATCTTATTTTTTTAAAATATTTATAGCAATATATTATATTTTTAATATTTTTAAAATATTTAATCACTGCAATTTTGATATTCCAAAAATATTTTTTAATTTAAGAAACTCCTAGATTTTTAAGGCTTACTGCTTTATTGTAGACATCGTGTTATGCAAAAGTTTATGTTGCAGCTTTTATTTTCTATCCGTTTGCCTGAATAAGTAGAGGTATTATTTTTTTAATACATGCCAATAATAATTTCAATATAAAACCTTTTTGTATTTGATACATATTTTTGAACAATTTTTCGCTTGCGACGCAAATTCAAAAATAAGAACGGTAAAGTACGAAAACTGTGGAAAATAATGCAATGTTTTTTTTTTCTTGCTAGTTCGCTTTAAGCGCATTTGGGGTTAAAGAAACTTATTAACAATCCAAAAGTATATAAATCCGCCAAGTGCCTCAGAAGTTCCTGGATCCGCCAGTAGAAGAGCAAGCGGAAATTTAACAAATGTATAATTTATAGCAAATTCAAGATGCCAGATCTCCCGAGGATAACTAATCTGAGCAAGAGAACAGAAACACCACCAACGATATGCCAATTAAGCGTATGCGACATTGTAATCGTATACGGAAAACGATTTGCATTTTCTTGGATTGGATCTATGTTCACTATGCATGAATTAACTAAAACGTTAACAATTGTGTTATTACTTATATTGTCCAATTTTCGACATTGTAATCGTATTTAAATATTTAAATTTACTTGTAAGGATCTGTAGATATTTTTATATAAGAGAATACGTACATTTTCATATCTATTTCTTTTATGATATCTATAAATAATAATCTATCTATAAATAATAATATCTATAAATAATTTTTGTTTATTATGTTTAGAAAGAGTCCTTTATTTTGTTATTTAATTTAATCTATAAATAAGTTAAATTACTAATCAAATAAAGAATGTAAAAAAAAATATTTTTTATTTTATATATTTTATGCATTAAGCTCTTATCTGTCATTAAAATACTGACGAACATTCCTCTGTCAATAATTAATAACTCGATAAATTATAAAAAATAACATAATTATTGTATAAAGAATTATATCAACATTGTAATTTTCCATTTAGCAATATAAATATACTCTCTCAAGAAGGAAGTCAAAATAGTGATTGATTGATTGAATCATGACAAAAAAAAAAGACATAAATTTGGTCAATAATCGGTTAATAATATTATATTGATATTATATTTTGGCTTTCTTGTTCCCCTTGGACTTATATTTATTAATCATTTACCTTAATTGAAAGTGTATTATTAATACTTATTTTGAATATTGAAAATACTATTGACAGTACTTTTTAATCTCAAAATAAGTATTTAATTGGCTAGTACTAGTACTAGTATTAAATGTCTATAAAGGTAATAAAAACATATGTTGTACGTAATAATTATTGAATAGAAAATTATAAATTGATGTAATGTAATATTTACTGAGAAGCGAGAGTCTTTGTTTATAAGGCGATTTAAATTATTATGTACAATGTGTATATATATATATATAAAATACAGAGAATTTTCGAAATTTATGGCTATAATTCGTTAAAATATTACTGTCGCACGAATATTTTCAAAATTTTTTATTAGAATTAATTTAACCGACAGTCAATTTTCGACGAAGCACCTTCGACGGATGCCAAGTTTTCTCAGAAAATCACGTTATATTCACGATCATTATTACAGAAAATTTCATCTCGACAATGGTGAGAAATCAGGTAGTACAATTAACAATAGAATAAATAGCGGGATCGATGATAATTGACAAATATAGCAGCGCTGTGTCCGCAAGCGCGTGCATCACACGGTCATGGGCTCCCGGACGCACGTGCAGCGCGTCCGGATGCTGTACAAGACAATTTTGAGGTTACATCGCGGTCTACCGGCCGAGGTCCGACCCTTGGGCGATGGTTACGTTCGCGATGAGTTCCGGAGGCATAAGGAATGCGCCGAGAGCGAGGCGATCACCTTTCTCCACGAATGGACTGTAAGTAAAGGCGCGTCATTCGTTAACCGCGCGAGCGCGTTATTTGAGGTTATGTTCTCGCGTGCGAGCTCGAGATGAAACGTGGTGCAATCATAGATTTATCGCGTTGTTTGAAATTCCCGAGATTTTTACACTTAAAACGAGATAAATATATATTTTGATGTAGGGCAGAGAGAGAGAGAGAGAGAGAGAGAAAAGATTCTGAATGCCAAAAGTGCAATTAGCAATGCAAATAGACCTTGTGAACTCCTCCTTCTCCGTAGAATTACGCAGTGTCTCTCGCCGAGCAGCTTGGGTTGAGAGGTCCTCATACGGCAAAACCATTAGGGCGATATCTGAAGGAAGAAGATATCGTGAAGCTGCGAGACGAACAAGTGTGCCAGCTGTATGAGCTGATGATCGCGGCGACGGGGAAGCCGAAGGACGCGAAGAAAACATAGCTACGTGGCTGTGTCTGGCATACGTGTCCGTGACATGGCTACAGCTGATCGTGAGGCTCTGGAGACTCAGCGCACTTGGACTGTCAGAGTTGTATCGTTGTGAAATACAAATAAATGATTTTTCCCGCACAACCCAACTCAGCGATGTCGTTCACTTGACGATCGTATTGTGTAATAATTGTTGTTTGTTATTATTGATAGCTGTTATTTAAATAATAAATATAATTATTGAGTGCGAGAGACTGTTAGAAGTGTAGTGTTATTGATACGATGATAAATGCAGACAATAATTAAATTAGGAAATACAATAGCAAGCAAGTGAAGCTGTAATTTATTATGTTGATTTGATGCACAACCTGATAATAAAAACGTGACATCAGTGCTTAATTCTTGCTATTTATAGCACGTAATAACATATGGCATATAATACTTACAAATATAATAATCATTTACATATCTAGTTTTTGAATAAACGATAACGCAATAACGCAATCGAAGTGAATTTCGTTATCACGGAGTAATGCAATTCATCACTTTAATAATTCAGTACAGCTCGGAAAGATTATTGATAGGTAAATTTCTGCTTTGTTAGTAGATTTTTTATTCACAGTTTTCACGCGTGTAAGAGAAATCGTGGAAAGATGAAGGCCTGGTCTGACGCGGCGAGTTTGATATTAGCAGCACGTCACGGGCAAACGTACAGTCGCATGGTGTCGCCTGCAATCGTAAGTGCATATACAATATAATACAATAGCGACGTGTATGCATTCTGGTCGCGTGACGAAGACTCGATCGACACTTTCTCGCTCCACAGCTGTAGCGTGGAATGAGAAAGATTTCGACAGATTTCGATTTACGTTTATATACGTTTACGATATACGTTTTTACATTGAACTGTTTATTTATGATTATATTTATAACAATAATGTATACGTGATTCATTGTTACATATCAACGAACATGCCAGGTAGTAAAGCCTGTCTTGGCAAAATCACACAAATCTGTGATTGCATATGATACTCGCAACTTGCCGTAGATTTGTCTTCAATGACTTCAAATATACCGACATTGTAGCAACATGCAGGCAATAGTGTATTATGTATTGTTAGCAGTTTAACGGCAAGATAGCTGCATCAATGTTTGCATCAACCTTGCATTGTTCGGTAATATCCCTTACAGCACAAAAGCTTGCAGTGCTATTTACATAAAATACCCAATATAGGATGTTTTTTTCCATTTAGTGATATTTCGATACAAGCACCATTCTATTTTTCTTGACTTTCAGTGAATACAAAGATAGAAATTGTATTAATTTGTGTCACCAAATAAAAAGTATCCATTGTCACATTATTGAACAGAATCTACTTGTATTATTTTCCATGCAGCACAAATTTGCAGTAACATTATTGCAACGTTTGTAATGCTACTGCGATATTATTGTACAATGCAATGTATTGCTGCAATATTGCTGGAATGATCTGTATTGTACAGGTTCATTATCAAAGTTGATTATAATAAGTCTATTTTCTTGCCGAACTAGTATGCACTTTTGAAACTTAAAGAGAAATAAGCATGATGTTTGATATTTAGCGAAAGCAAGAAAGAAAGTTCTAGTGTAGTCCAGTGCAGGAATAAAAAAACAGACCTTATGACTGCTTTGCTTTTAAGAGATACAGTCGACAAATATTATTCTATTTTTGTTATTCATTGAATGTTAAAAAGATTAGAACAACATTTGTGTCAACAGTGTCTTCTAAAAGGGAAATAGTCTATAGCCAGAATTCATAGTCAATGTTAAGGTCGTTTTAAATATGGTCTTAAAATGTTATAAGCTAATCACAGAGCAATATTAGCATTTTAAGACATTGTTTAAGACTGTTTTAAAATAAGAACAGACTATAATACAATGATGAACCTATATTATGCGACTGTATTTAGATGTTTTATATAAAGTCTTTAATAGGTATCAATCCAATGACTAAATTTGCTATTTTAGAATGAGGCTACAGGCATAATTCATGATTTCAGCACAATTACAAGCTGCTATGCCTGAAGCGTCATCAAAAGTCGAGTTTCATGCCAGGGTTATACGTCTTCCCGGGTGGCACAGTGGACCCAGCTGATGTCAATCTGAAATGGTACGAATATTTCAGTACTTTCGGTCTGGACAATGATAGGCTTGCATCTCTGGTACCAAAAACCGTGTCGCGGCCGCAACTTTTTCAATCAAAGGAGAACGAGTTGCTCAGAGAAATCTCGCTACGCATTACGGCGATTCGCGAGACCTTTGAGGAATGCGGGATACTGCTATGCAGACGTAAAGACGGCGATGCTCATTCTAGTTGGGCTGAGCACGTATCAAGTAAGAAATTACGTAAGGAATTATGAATAAATTTACAGCTAATATAACATTTATTGGATAATTTTCAGTTCCTGAGGGCGAGCTGCAAACGTGGCAGAACAAAGTCCACAATGATGCGACGGAATTTCTCAATCTCTGTCAGAAGTTGGAGTGTTATCCGGACTTATGGGCGCTATATGAATGGAGGAATTGGTTGGGACCTACGTATGAGCGCAAGATTAAACGCTTCAACACCGCTTTTTACTTGGCTTGCATACCGCATATGCCACACGCTGAATATGAAGCTATAGAAATGGAGGATCTACAAGTGAGACACTTACATATTAGTTAGTTCGATAGATAACGCGTATCCTTCCGTAAGCACTAATCACTAAAATTGAATTCAGTGGTTCTCTCCGGAGGAGTTTTCTTCGACATGTTTCGGACCGCCGCAACAGATCGAGATTGCCAGGTTGACCAAAATTAAAAGTATAGATAATCTCCTGGATATCGCCAAGGAACGCAATAAAAAAGGCGTGCAAGAGCTGTATTTACCGGTACGTAAGCTAAATTGTTCCATTGCTAGAACTGTTGAAGTGCTAAATATTTCGCAGCACAAAAGTTTGCAGCGTAACATTGCTGCAACGTTGGCAGTGTTGCTGTAATATTGATGAAACAATCTGTGCAGAAGCTCGCAGTAATATTGTAACTTTTCAGCAATATTCCAGTAACATTGCAGTAACGTTGCAGTAAGGTTACTGTAAGCTTTTGTATTGCATCCCATACAGCACAGATTGTTTCAACAATATTGCAGCAACATTGAAAACGACAATGTTGCTGCAAGTTTCTGCTGTATGAGACGGATAATCTTCATCATAAATAATTATAAAAATATGCAATATTTTATTGTGTTGCTGATAAATATATTTTGTAGGTAGCGGTGCAATTGAAGGATGGTATCGTGTTTGTCATCCCTGAAGATACGATGTACCCGAAGGAAATTGAGTTGTATGAACAACAAATAATCGATAAATCGGATATTACTGTAGATGAATTTGAGAAGATAACCCTGATAAAAAACAGAATAATATTTCTCGACACGCAAGTTAACATAATTTTTACCGATAATGGCAAAGATAATCGCGTGGTATTTCCAAGACCTGGATATCATTCAAATAGAAATGTGGAATCCAAAAATAAGCTTTAAGATGAATAATAGAGAAACAAATTCGATTTCGGTTTTCAGATAATTTGCTCGAAGAAGATATTTTTAAATATGTTTAAGTGTTGAACAAATGTTAAACATTGTATGATTTGGTAAGGGGTTGTCATTGTCGGCAGAATGTTTCTAAAATAATGATAAAATAATGACTTGTAAATAAATATATAACATAAATGATCTTTGTTATATTTCTGTATAATATAACATGCATATTCGTATTTATGCAATAAATTATTAACATTGTAAACATGTTAGCATTAAAATTTTATTAAATACGTGAACACCCGTTACCTGATAATTTTTTAAACACATGTAAGAATATATGTGCGAAGCACTCTGCGTGGTGCGTAACGCGTTTTAAAGATGACGATTAAAAATTCGTAAATAAAAGTTAAATATTCTTTATACCTCTCGTGCGGCTTTTGCGCATATTTTTCACAATATTAATTAAAGGTAATATTAGTAAATAAATTCAGAAGGTTGGATAGACAGAGCACGGGTCTTGGACTCTTGTGGATTGGAACTTGCGCAGAATACAACACTGGTAGTAATCGGGAAGGGGAAAAATCGTGTAAACGGGGTTTAAGGTGTCGCGCGCGCCGACGCCGGCAGCGCCGCTCCGGGGCAGCGCGGCGAGAATCGGCACTGACGTCTCCTCTCTCTTCTGACTCCGGCAAATCGATATTCCGCTCAAATATTGACTCCGCGATTGTGTGTGCGGTGTGCCCTCGTCGCGAGTGCGAGTGAGCGAACGAGCGAGCGAGCGAGGCGAGCACGCGCGCGAGCGACAGAGTCCGTTCCGTGCAGTCAGTCGGCGATGCTCCTTTAAAAAGCGAAGTGTACTCCGGAGTGCGCGCGCGAGTGAGACATTTAGCACCGCCGAGAGAGAGTCAACGAGTGACCGAGAGCGGAGAGAAGCGCGTTATAAGGACGCGTAGTAAAGGTGCCTCGTAAGCCACGCCGCGCGCGGCCAGGCAGCCACGATCCTGTGACGACGAGAATCGAGAAACGAGAACGAGGAGGAGCGGAGGAAATATGCTGCCGCAGGCGACGACGGGTGCGCTGCTCTGCGGGCTGCTGGCCCTCTACGTGGGGCTCACCCACGCGAGCATCGCCGCGGCCTTCGAGTCGACACCTTCGAGCTCCTTCGATCATGGAGGTGATTCGGTCTTTTCTCTTTTTTTCTCCTTTCGAATCAGGTTTCGTACCTGGTCTCGCCGCCGTCACCGACCGACGCCGCCGTGCCCTACATTCTTCTCCGTCTGTAATATCCGGTTCGCGAGCGAGTAACGCTGATCACGCGTGTTTCTTCGAATCCTCGAACTTTCTCCTCGTTTCCGTCGAAGACGTCGCAGCTCGCGCCGCACCGCGCCGCACCGCGTCGCGACGCGGCGCGGCGGTCCGCAGGTGCGACGAGCAATAACAGGCACCTGCGGTCCGACGTGGCTGTTACACGGCGATCTCATTGACCGTGTGCGTGCCTGTGCCTCCGTCTCTCGTTATATTATACAATACGACGAGTTGAACGTTGCACTGCGCCCACCCGGTCGATATACCGCCGTCTCTGCCACCGCCACCGCCGCCGCCGCCGACGCCGTCGCCACCGCCGCGCGAAACGGGCGAGGAAAGAAAGGCGGCTGTTAAACCCTAGAACGATTCTTTTACCTGAGAGAAAACGGGCTCCAAGGAGAGAAAGAAAAAATAATGCGGGGGAGTTCGGTTAAGCGGACCACCGCGCTCGGACCGACCGCGCTTGATTGTTGATATCTCTCGACGGACCTTACGGGGACTACGTTCCAATATTCACTGTCAAGTGTCGAAAATCTATAGCATACGTCACGTGCACTATAGGCTTTCAGCAGTAACAATAAATATCGAAACGCAGCTGGAGTCTCCGCGTGACGTAACGGTAAGGTGTCGAGGACGTGTTTAAAAGGAACGCTGGAAGAGTTTGGAGTAAAATATTCTTGCTTCTCCGACGTTGAAATATTCATAATCAATTCTTATATTTAACAGTCTTATATTTTACTGTCTTAAGATGTTACGAATCAATTAGATGTATTAGTCGTGTTAGCATGTTAAGATATTACTTAAGATCATTTCGAAATAAGAATAGTCTATGAATGTCTGAGAGATCTTACGAATCTTGACCGAAATCGATTCGCCGCGACGCTCGTTTTGATTTTTCGCGTCCGAGATAATTGTCGTGCCAGAGCACCGGTTGATTCTGTTCGGAATCGCGCGACGTCGCGCCGTGAGAGAAATTCGGGATTTGCCGACGCGTTGCATGTTAACACGCCCAAATTCGCGGAACGACGAGAATAATCGTGTTATGCAAAATTTTCGGCGACGCCGGTAAAATCCCATTCGCGTGTTCGTATATAAGGGACGCGGCGATAGAATTGTCGAAATACGTCTCATTGTCAATGCGACACGAGGTCGCCTGCCGCTAAAAGAGAAGCATAACGATGCGTCGTCGTCTCTTTTTTGCTCGCGTTAAATACGGCTCTCTTCTCGCGTCGCACCTGACGGAGCGATCGACTGCACTTTTCTTTTTTACACAGTCTTGGACTTGATGTAAACAGAATGTGAATGGCAATAAAAGACACGACGACAGACAAATCGATACACTGGAAAAAAATGCTGATTCTTAACCTATAGGGATCCACAATAAGCTCTACTAATAGACTAGACTCTTGAAATTCAAACAATAAACTTACAAAGGCAAATAAGAATAAACGAAAGTTGCTATATCTGAATTACAAGAAAAGAATACGTGTGTA